ACCAACAATATGAAAGATAATAAAAAACTACAAACTACCTTCTCCATGCACTTATATGATTTTCTTAAGAAACATCTCTATAATTTTTACCTAAGTAGTATTATTAAAGAAGCAACCCGCAATTGTGAACCTTTAAAAGCAAGCTTCTACCACACTATTTGAAAAATAGCTTGAGAGCGCCCTCAATTTTTAATTGACTATATCTTTCAGCTTCATCCAGATATCAGTAAAGATGCTACCATTCTATTCGAAACTATTGAAAGTTTCCTTAAAAAGATTATACTCTGGTTTACTACAATTCTTTTTACCAAACTTAACTATGCAGAGATTTTTGCCTCTCCTGCTATTATTCCCCCTCTTAAAGTAGAAAACCATATTCAATTCTGTATCAACTTGGCACACCTTCACCTTTACCTGTCTAACAACTACCATGCCATCAACTACAACAAATTCACCGAAGACTTCAATCTTCATCCCAAACCATTTACTTTTAGCTTCCATATTGTATCTACTAATCAAAATAGAAAATACCTTACAATTAAATCAAACAACAAACTTAATATCAACCTCCTTTTAAATGTTCCAAAAAACCTATTTCTTGAAAAATTCTCTATTCCCTCTTTTAAAAATTCTTTGGACTATTTTAATGAATAGTTTGATATAGCTTTCCCTGCTTTTAGTCATCAATTCTCAACTACTCCTAACAAAGATGAAACCAAAACACGTTTACAATCTCAAATTTGCAAGCATTTTATTACCCAACTCAAATCCTTCTTACTCACTTCACTCCAATTTCGCAAATCATATACCTTTCAAGACAGATAAGATGAATGTTATCATGAAATCAACTTCTACATATTTACATGTAAACATGAGAACTGCTCATATATAACTGACCACAAGCATGACATGAATACACTCTTCAAAAATACACTTAACACTTCTTTTATAGAATTTTCTAAAGAAACCTTAATGTTTGAAGAGCTCCATATTGATAACTCAATCTTCTATATTGATGGAAAGCATGAAGCTACTTTTTCCAAACCTATACCTAGCATCCTTTTTAACAAACTTGCCAATCAAGCAGAAGAAAAATACTGCAACTTCAACTCTCTCTTAACCTCAACTGGTCACCACAACCTCTTCTTCTACAAATACTTAACAGCTTACTAAAAAACTGCTGCTCAAAACCTTGGTCTTGAACATCTTACTAAAGATGCTACAAAGGGAAAAGTTATACAAAACCTTATCCCTACTGATCTTCTAGCCTGAATCATTATATACTATGATCTATTTTTTGATAAACAACCCTCCTACTCTCAAACAGCTAAATACTACAAAGAAACAGCCTATTCTGAAGCTGAACTACTTTTAACTGCCAAATTTAACCTTAATTTCTTAGTTTCCAATGAAATTAAAGACTCTTTATTTCTTAAAAAGTCTCCTTTTTAATAAATTTATCTTCTGCAACCCTTATTAATATAGCTACCGCCTTATTAAAAGATGCAACCAAAGCAGTTAATAAGGAGAAGATATAAGTAAGCAGGTGGATAAGCCTACTTACCTAAAAGATTTAGATAATAACAGCTCTCTAACATTTAATCTGAAAGCTTCTAAATCTTGCGGAGCCGTGCAAGCCAGGCATACGGTGACCGCTACAGAAAATATATCCTATGTGGTTTTATCCTCAACACCATTAGCCTCCTATGAGCCACAAACAATATTATTATCTCTATCCAACTCAACTAATCAGCCTGACACAAACTTATATTTAGACAACAAACTACTTCCAGACTCAGACCTAGATGATAACTTACAACACAGCTATGATGACCAATATTCTGAAACCATTACACAAATAAATGAGAATTTAGGCTTTATAGACCCTCTTTTATGCTATAACAAATTTCTTTTTTATCATAGACTTCCTCTACTAGAACATCCACAAACTATCTTTACTTTTCTTCAATATATTAGATATGATTTCTCCTCATACTACTTACCAAATCTTATAAAAATTACGAAACCCGCGAAAATTGTAACGTTATTGATGCAGATCATAACTAATATAGTAACTAACCCTAACTAAGTAAGATCTGCATCAAAACGTATCTATCACTGTCGCGGGTTTCACCCTTTCATAAAAAATTTACTACCGTATTACCGCGAAATAACGCGCAGGGGTGAAATTGCAAATTTCGGCCTAAATTAAGCTTAATTCGGGCCGAACCTCGAAATAACGCTCATGGTCGTTATTTCGCGGTAACACGGTATGTCCAATCAAATTATTTGACAATTGGGCATTGTCCAAATGTCCAAAAGTTCAATATCGTAATATGCCATCCCTGAGTATCTTAACATAATGCAGATGGAATATAATTAGAATTTGAGCAAAGTTCTGAAATCATCCGAAAAAAAACGAATAAACATAAAAGACGAGAAGGGATTGTCAAATATTCAAATAAATGTCCGATATTTTTCGAAATAAGAAATTTAAATACAGGGATATAAATAAATTTGAAACCATAAATAAAATTTTGAAAACATTAATTTAAATAAATTTGTTCTTATGGAACATAAATCTCAAAACAGATTTCCAACACAAGTATTAATAATTAATAATAAATCTCAATGCATAAGGATCATTCCTCATCAAAATAATAGTATTAAAATCAGTTTTCCAGTGGTATTATATAGATAGTGTATGTGTTTACTTTATTGGTATTTTTGATATTGTATTGGTTTGAGAATGCTTTAAAAATTATGATATTGCTAAAAGAAACTAATATACTCTATAATGAAACATTAAAATTTCTTGAGAACATTAAATAACACATTCGAAAACAATTTTAAATCTGCATCGCACTCAAAATAAAGGAAAAGGATAAATAAAACTCGATCGCGGTATATAAATTTAAGAAACTAAGTAAAACTAAATCTAATTAATTCGAGGAGTAATTCTAACTTTCAATTCCTTAATTTTATTATTCGACACGGTAACAATTTTCAATGGTTCATGCATATTGACCAATTCAACATTATAATATCTGTAAACTGATGCCATCAATAAAAGTAGCTCAACAATGGCCAGCTTCCTTCCAGGACAGATTCGTGGACCTCCACCAAAAATCAGCAATGAATATTTATTTTCTAATTTTTTATCATAATCTTGATCTACATTATAAAATCTATCTGGATCAAAAACTTCAGGATTAGACCAAACTTCAGGATGACCATGTATTCCTATAAAATTTAAGTGAAACATTGTACCAGAAGCCCATTTATATCCTGCAATTTCGCATTCTTCAGTAATATAGCGAGTTGAAGAATTTATTATTGGTATAACACGACCAGTTTCTTTGATTATGGCTTCACAATATTTTAGTTTTAAGACATCATCACTTGTTAGGTAAGATTTATTAGAAAAGACAGAGTCAATTTCTGAAATCATTTTTTGTTTTACATTTGGATGTTTACAAAGATAGTAAGTTACATAACAAAAAGTGGAAGAAGTCTAAGTGTGATATCAATAAATAAGTAAATAATAAAAGTAAATTATAAGCAATTAGATAAAGAAAATACATATTACTTACACTATCTGTTCCACCTGCAAATGCATCCACCAAAGTGCCTCTAATCGCTTCATCGGTCATAGGATCAAAAGCCTCACCACCTACTGTTTTTACATTGACAGTATCCTTTTCAGTGTTTGCAATGATTAAGGAAGTTAGCAGATCGGTTCTCATTTCTATACCAACTGACATTTTTTCAATCTCTTTTCTTCTCTTTTTTATTATGTGATTCAATTTTTCAAACAAATAGTTCCGGTTTTTTAAATAAGAATTTGCTTTATCTCTGATAATTGGAATATAATGCCTCATGAATGGGCCAATAAGTATGAAAAACACGATACCATCGATTTGTTTTATTACTGCATTGACGAATTTATACCCATCTTCGACTAATGCATCAGGATGCTCAGATTTGACAGTACTTTGCATATTATAGTAGGAAGCAATTGAATATGTACGTTCACCAGTGGTCATGATCGAAATGATATCATTCGAAAATGCATGAAACCATGCAGAGAAGTCGGTTTCTAATGTCCAATTATCGTTACTATCATTATTATCATTTGAAGTATTTTGTTTTCCAAGAGATTGCCAGTATCCGCTTAATTCTTCAAATAATTTATTTGTAGAATTTACAGCACCATCCATAAATTTAGGTGCTAATAATGCTTGAGCAAAAAACTGTTTATTATATTTCCAACTCTTATAATTTTCATTTGCAAGGATCCCATGCCCGTAAAATCCAAGTTCATCTAGACCTTGTGAATATGGAAACCTTCTTACACATATCGGAGACATAAGTTTTTCAAAATAATCCGGTTGTGAGAGAATGATACATCTATTTCCATTAAGCATTATTTCACAGACATTTCCATATTTTAATTGACATGTTTCATAAAACAATTTTACATCGTAAGCAACATTATGAGAATTTCCAATCAATGGTAATGGCAACGGACCCGGGAGTGGATTGTAGCGAGTTAAATATCTATAATAAAAGTTAAAAACATAGGTGGCAAGAATTAAGACGAGGAAGAGGAAATAATCTGTTATACTAAGGGCTTCGATAATTTTTTGAATAAACATCTTGAGTTATATATGTATTAAGGTCTAAAAGGATTTAATTACAGTATTTTGTTAGAAAATCAAAACTAAATCCTTTTAGAGTATCAACTTTAATTATGAAATTAGTTATTAGTTATTTAGCTAGCAAGTATTCTAGGAGCAATCGTAAGCGTTGGTATTATGCTGAATTACTTTTCAGGGAAATTTTAGTTGACATTTAATTTTGGTAATTTTGCGTACCACAATTTCAATCGATTGTAGACGGTATCTAGTGAATAGTAAGAGCAGTGCGTCGAAGCACTGTTCAAGCTTAAATTTTTTTTTTGCTTATCAAGCAATGGTTATATTTAAAAATAATGAAAAATGACGATTAAAAAGGAAAAAACATCACATGCTGAATTTATGGAAAGCAATCATAAAACTTATTATATATTATCAGATTTACGGAGTTACTTTAAAATTAGGAGTTTCCCCACTTCTTACATCGGGTAATAGCTACGGCTAACAATATTTATATCTAAAGAGCTAATTAATGACATTTTGCGCTCAGTAAGGCCCAGAATGAGTTAGCCCGCGGGTATTTGCGGGCACTTTTGGAATTTAATTCTGGCCGCCTCTCTAAATGTCAGTCACTGATATTTTATCAGGTGGTAAGATGAACCCAAAAGCCCACGGGCCAGTCCATGTCAGGCTCAAGTATTTTTGATAATTTGTTATTTATATTACTTTGCATCGTTTAAAAAGAACCAATTATAGACATAACATGGCAAGGTAAAAATGGATCAGCACACTAGATTCTTTTAAGCATTTTTTTTAGACACATTTTCAAAATGCCAGCTACAATCAATTTTTTTTTTTATTCAAACAGATACGGTGAATTGCACATTACACATAGTATATAACGAGAACTCTGAATAATACTAAAAGAGGTTATATTGTAGTAAATCTACTTTATTTGAGTTTAATTAATAACCGATCACGAAAATTAAATCTATTACTAATAATAAATACAGAATTAAACTCATACACATTAACATACGCATGTGCAAAAAAGTTTTTTATAGCAAACCTACACATATATACATAGAAAATCAAAGTCACGAGAAATGATCATCCAATCAATACTCAGATTTTGTCACGAACTCTTGAATTGCCAGTAAACCATACTCTCCGTACTTCGCAGTACATTTCTAGTATATCTTATTCTAAAATTTGTACCATACTGATCTCGGTGTCATATATTACTGTATCATCGGGAAAATTAAGTAAGTGCAAATTTGCAATAATCTGTATTTTTGCAAAAAATTTTTGAATTTTAAGTTTTGCACAAAAATGCATTTAATTTCTGCATTTATAGTATCAAATTTGAAGTTTTGTGCAGATTTTCATTTTATTTTTTTTTGTAAATCTGCGTAGAACTGCAATAAAAAAATTTTCCAGCTGATTAGGTTTAAAGCCTATCGTTATATTCTATTGTATGGTATAATTTTTAAAATAGGTGCTTTTACCATGCTGATCTATGTCATATATAGGGATGGGATCGGCTTTAACCGGCTCATTTGCACGTGACAAAACCGAACTTATCACGTGATAAATGCGAATTAATGTGATGGGAGAGTCTCCGGCACCTACCAAAACGTGATTTTTGCACCTACCAAATATAAATCAACCAATCATAAAAACTCTAACTCTAATCTAACCAGGTAGTTGCAAAATTGGTAGGTGCCTGGAAACTTTCTTTTAGTATGATAATTTCGACCCATCACATGATAAATCGATTTTGACCATTGGCTCCAAGCTGGGATTATTATTATTATTATTTTTTTAAGCAATCCTGCCTTTATTTATGTGAACTGCTATAAAATTTATATACAATGTACTAAATTTTTACAACTTATTGCTCTAACT